ATTATCTGTTTTGATTTTGTTTTCAGATGACACAACCTGGCCTCTTTATGAGACACAATTCCTTGGTTTAGCGAATTACAATTTAAAGAAAATTCATATTATTAGCATATTTTCTGATGAAAGCTATGTGACTGAATGAGCTTCCATGCAACATGGGTTTGCAAAGGGAATGAAACGGGCCAAACCCTGCACACAAATTCATCATCACAGCACTATCAATTCACTCCCGTCATCCATTCTTGTTCAGCAAATCTGACAGAGCAGAACTTCATTAGGAGATCAAAGAACAATGAGCGCCTCTATTATTGACAAGGAAACAGAGGGTCCCCTGAGGAGACACTATTAAAAGGAGGAAAACGCGGGGTTGATTAGTGATGTGACACAATCGGTGTAAGCTGTTCAGCTCTGAAACAGCTGTCCTCTCTAGTTTGTTCATAGTCATGCTCTGTTTGTCGGTTTCTCAGTGGTGCATTCCGGACATCTCTATACTGACATTCCCCTTTGTTTTAAGTGCATTGGCTTTGTTAAGTACAGTGTATAACTATTGTAACTATCTGTTTTGCACAGTTCAGCACAGGAAGTGCAGTGTCACATTTTCTGCTTTAAAACTTCTGCTTAAAATGACAGGTCACCATTAATCCCTAGGTGCCATCTCTTGAATTTTATGACATTTTGGAAATTATGGTTTTCATGACATGTTGGAGCATGGAAGCAAGCAATCAGCTTTAATGAGACCAGATTACAACACACATGCATAGTCATAAACAATATAGTGAATACACATGATAAAAACATCCTATTTAATTCAAGATGGAACCAAGGAATTAATAGAGAAAGTTTGAATTAATAGAGAAACAGAAATAGCCTATTTGGAAGTTATGAGCTCTTGTTTTTTTTTTTTTTAATGGCAAATCAAGTAAAAAGACTAATTTTCTCCAAATGCTTTTCTCATAATAAATACTAAAACATTGCTTTAAATATGTCTAAAATTAATATAAAATGTTATATTTCATTTATCAAAGTAGTTTTTTTCTTCTTCAGATTTTATACATTTTGAAATTACACCCGGCCAAGAAATGTCCTCTAGACTCTAAAATAATCAATATGTCATTTGTAACAAAATTGCAGCATTCATAGAGGAGTGCGAATCATTTCAGCATCTGCTGTAAACTCGGACCATCTGCTCCACTGATGGCTACTGGGATACCCAGCTGTGTCCCTAACACAGTGTCCTCTGACGCGCAGGAGCGTTGCACAGCAACTGAGTACATATTCCAACCATGAATCATGAACTAGCCCTGTTCTGAGAGCAGAAAATGGACACTTAACCTGGGAGAACAGCCTCTAATGTGGCATAAAGCAGACACTATTCCCCTGCTGTTATCATAGGGCAACTCTACTGTTGCCGCAAAAGCCATTACATCACTGTTTGATGCATTTACCCCTGCAGTGGAAACCTGAGTAGAAGTGGCTTACGCAAAGACACAATGAGGATGAGAAAGGGGTACAGAGTGAGAAAGAAAAAGGATAAAATGATTAAAAAAAAACATACTGTATTGGGAATATAAGAAAGGATCAAGAGAATGAATCACAGGAAAAGAGTGAGTTAATTGTGGCTGCTGTGTGTGTATCAGAAGATGCTTCGAGGTTGGTGTGAGGCAGCTCAAACCGGTTTTGTGAAGTGTTATCACAGCGAACCATGAGCCACCACTCCACATAAAACCAATGAGCTTCTGAGGTCGCAGAGATTGGCTATTAAAACATCAATCAGCTAAAAAAAGCAGCACTTCATTTTCTAAAGGGAACAGAATACTGAATGTTTGTTACTGGTATCACAGATCAGGGTTAGCCAAAAAATTCAACAAATTATTCAGTCTTTATTTAATAAATGTATATAATGCATCAATATACAAGCATGAATCTCATTTGGTTCCAAAGAGAGATTTGGCTAAAAATATATGTACCATCCTCAGACGCTTGCTGAGTCTTTGTGACGCCTCAGTCTGTTTGTCCCCCGCCTGCAGTGCGCTCTATTTCAGAAATCACCACCCATTCAGAAACAATGGCATCTTTCAGCCGTTTCAGATTTAGATGTGCTACACTTACAGAGCTGGAAGTGGTGTTTGATTTTGGCTGGTGACGTAGATACGTTTTCTATTTCTCTCTCTTGTATTGCACAACAAAGGACTGGTATTCTTCCTTTCGAATAGTTTCCACTCAATATGGCGATGAACAGCAATAATGCAACCCTGATCTGTGACAGCCCTGGATTAATCTGTCCTTAGTGCATCAATGAAGACCTGAGGAAGGAAGAGTCCATTTAGGACAAACCGTCTATGAATCTCCTGAAGGTTTTTAGATGAACTCAAAGGGTCAAGTAGGGGTCGTATGGAATCACACTCCTTGAGCAGCTGGAGTAGTACAATCGCCCTAGTGAACAGGCCTGAAAGAGCGCCATGGAAACGAGGTTCTATTAGCAAACTCAGCCAATCAGGATTCAGGACATCACCTAGACAACAAATGAGAGATATAATGACATAATTGGCACATAAACATATAACAACAACAACTACATGCAAACTATAAACAAATATTACAGTTCATATTAATTATAATTATAAGGTTTTTGATTCAATTATAAAGGTACATCAGGAAGTTAATTAGTTATAATTAATGTGATAATAAAGAAAAACAGTCATTATGGAGATCTTATATACCTAATTGTAGCTGCATACAAATTGTGAGATTCTCTTTGACAATGGCTGCACTGTTTTGGGCCCAGCGCTCGAGGTTCTTGGCGAGAGTGGAGGATTTTGGGTAATGTTTAACCAGATTCAATAGGTGTGGCAACAGGCACTCTGAGATCACAGATGGCTCTGCAAACACATTTGCTTCATCTCGCTCATACAGACTGCGACATCTGACCGACATAAGAAAACAACAACCAACAATGTAAGAGACAGAAGAAAACAGGATGGTTGCATGTGTTTCTGTTCAGTTAAAATATAATAAAAGATATAAAGATTAAAGCCTATATAACATTTTTTAAATCTACACTACCATTCAAAAGTTTGGGGTTGGTAAGATTTTTTAAAGGGGTCATATGATGTTGCTAAAAAAGAACTAGTGTTTGCAACTTTACAGATCTTCTTTATGCACCAAGAGCTTGTAACACTCTAAAGAGAAAGGAAAAATTTTAATTGCATCATATGACCCCTTTAAATGTTGTTAAAAGAAGTCTCTTATGCTCACCAAGGCTGCATTTACTTGATTAAAAATACAGTAAAAACAACAATACTGTGAAATATTATTGAAATGTAAAATAACAGCTTTCTATTTTAAAATGTAATTTATTCCTGTAATGGCAACACTGAATTTTCAGTAGCCATTACTCCAGTCTCCAGTGTCATATGATCTTTAAGAAATCATTCTGATAATACAACACACATGTAAAATAATAATATAATTTAAAAAATGAAATAATTTAAGGTCACCTTACAGGCACTTTTGATTACATTAAATGCATTCATGCTGAGTAAACATTATAAATTTCTTTTTATGCCAACCCCAAAGTTTTGAAACTCTAAAACTGAATGTTATGTTAAAACAAAGTAAAACTATGATAATAGTAATAATAAAAAAAAACATCTAATGCTACATAGTGTTCAAATAATTTACTTTTTTTTTTTAAACATGCATAGCATTTCTATAATAATATGCACAAAAAACAAGTTAACGATTGGCTTGAATTATTGTCATTTCTGTATGTGGATTGACGTACTGCGTCTCTTCGGCCTCCTTCAGTACAGCATTCAGATCACAGTCAGGTAAGTGGCACACTAAGGCCTCCAAAGCACAACTTGCGTCCCAGAATTCCTCTAAGAGCAGGTCGAGCAGTGAGTGCAAAGCCCGGTTCACCTGCATGTAGAAGCATTTCTGTGGATCTTCCGGCCGTCGGACAGAACAGCAGAGCAGAGAGGCAAAGACAGCCGCCTTCGCTCTCACCTGTGGACTCTCATCCTGAAGCAGGTAGATACCCGTGCTGATCAAGCTTCAAAAAACAGAGGGATGGAAATGTAGTTATACATCAAATACTTCCTGCATAATAATCATCAAATAATAAACAGCAAGAGGAAGAAACAATTAATCTGCAAATCTAACCAGACAGAAATATACAACATCCTGACAGTGCACTAAGTATTTTGTTTCTAGTCCTTCCCTGTCTAGCTCACTGCCCAAACTAATTGAGTTATCCAGCACACCTCGTTATTATACCTGGTACTGAGCTCTTTGAGCGTGAGGCCTCCTGTCAGGCTCCTGGTCACTACGTGGACCCCGCACAGACACAGAGCCTGTGCACACGCTGCTCTGAGGGCCTCAGGAGCTTCAGGACATCTGTGCTTCTCTAATAACTTACACCAGCGCTGGAGCAAAGACAAGTCCACACTGAGAGAACAGACAGGCAAACAGAGTAAAGAGTTTGAGCACCGGTAAATCCATGAGCCATATCTCAAGACTTTCCGATTTCTCAGAAACATCAGTTAAGTTGACATAAAACAGCACACACAACTCATTTTAGTTACATAATGTGTTGTCTTTCTGAGTGGAACAAAAATATTATGCAAGAAAAAAAAAAAGAGAGAAATCTAGAACTGACTGAAGCAGGGCTCTGACTGTGGGGTCTACTCTCTTTCGAAAACACTGTCAGACTCGGCACCTACTTTTTTTTTTTTTTAAAGAAATTGATAGTTTTATTCAACAAGGATGCATTAAATCCTTCTATTCATCATAAAAACATATTGAAAAATATAGAAATACAGTAAAACATGCATCGGAGTTTTCACAGAAAATATTAAATACAACCAAATATAAAGAACATGAAGAATATCTAATAACGTCAAGCTAAACACATTAAGATTTGGCTGCATGACAGGTGAGTTTACCTGTGACAAAGGAGCAGGCTGACTGTACACAGAGCCGTGGAGATCAGCACAGGCCCTCCTCTATCTGACTCCAGATCAGTAAACAGAACCTCCACACACTCCTGCAGCCATGTCTCCTCGAACCCTGAAGGACAGGGACGGGGCAGAGCAAGACTGTCTTCCTCAGGGGTCATAACCTCAACTAATGCGGTCAAGAATGCTCCTCTGTACTCCAGGTTCTGGTCCAACAGTGCCTTCTTCAGGTTGGCCTGCAGGGGATAGACACTGTTATTCGAATAGACCCTTTCCAGACATTCCCCCCAAAAAAAAAAAAACACTCACCCATCTATCATTCTTGCAATCATGATCTTTTAGTTCTTATGAGAAGGGAATTAAAAGCATTATAAGATTGTGGTATATTTAATTTCTCATGACATGTAGAGCAGTTTGGTGTTTCACTGACCTCACATGAGGGCTGGGCGGAAATCCTGGCCGAGTACAAGCCCAGTGTGTTATTAAAGATTACTGAATACAATGACTAACACGCCCCCCCAGGCCCTCACACGCCAACACGAAGATCTACAGGCTGATTTCAGGGCAGTGTATAAAAGGGATCTTGATTGTTTTAATTTCCTTCAGTTGTATTTGGTTGACATTTGCGAACGGCTCAAATTACCAGCCTATGATATTTGTGAAAAGTGAAGTAGTTCTAGAAACAAACACTTGCAATTTTAAAATGTTAAATCAAGACAATTGTAAAAAAGAACATTAAAATAAATGCATGTTTTCATGCCTGAGCAGCACAGAATGAGTAAAGTGGCATTAACAGAAGCGTTCGTAAACAACCAGATGGAGCACCGATTAACAAAATGTCTCAAGATGCATTTTTTTAAATTTGATACATTTTAATTTGATACATTTTAAACAGCGCACCGCTTATTGGCAGCAAGCCATGATGGAGCGGCCAAAGATGTCCATCTACCTCACTTTATGTACAAATAAGCTAGATGGATGTTTTTGGCCACTGGACCTCAGCGGCTCAAACACAAATGGTTTGCTGTATAAAAAAATAAAAAATAAATCTTATAGCCCTCAAACCTTTAAATGGTACAGTGAATGCAACTTATTTAAACATAAAAAGCTGTTTAGTTTATCTCAGTATAATTATTGCATCTTTGCATTAAAGTGTCATAATGCAATAACGGCAACAAAATCAACTGACCATATACAGAGGCAAAAGTGAAGTGCTATAGTAATACTCACCTGCAGCGCTCTCTCCATAACCCGCTGTAGGACAGTTCCTCTCCAGCCACGCCCCTCTGTTGCAGACTTGACCAATGAGAGACGTACTACTGCGTTGCCATTGGCCAGATGCTGCCATACCTGACACGCCCACTCAGGATCCCCACACAGGAAGTTCACTGCACTTTGGTGGAATGAAGCAGAGCCAACCTAAAGCACACAAAACATTCACAATCAACATTTCTCTTACCGTGTATGTTCATGACCGCACACTCCAAAGGACAGGAATAAGCACCTCTAGTATGTTTGGAGTCCTGTGAATCTCCTGCAGCAGTTGAGAAGAGAGCTGAGTGAGGAAAGCACTAGAGCAATGGCCTCTTATCAGACTCACTATATCCACATACGCCAGCCGCACCAGCGGGCACCGCTGCCTCACAGATGCCAGCCACAGTCTGCACTCAAACTCACTCACAACCTCACTGAGAGATGACCGACTGCTAAACAAAAAGAGTCAGATTGCAATTTGATAACGGAGTATGACTGCTGCAGCAAAACATAATGACAAACTAATGACAAAAAGTGGCATTTCCTTCATGAGATACACTCCTCTACTCTTACATGCTAGTTTTCAGTGCCTGGGCCAGTATGGCTGCTATCTGTAGGAGTTGGCCATGCAGTCTGTTGTGACAGCACACAACGTCAGGTGATTCTGGCAGCTTTTCCCCCAACTGCAGGACAGTTGCCAGATATTCACTTGGTGGTATCATAGCAACTAGGGCTCTTGATGACATCACTCGTATGCCATAGACTGGGCTGGCAGCTAGGAGGAAGAGCGGAGGCAGGAATTCCGACAGAGCCCTGAAGAAAACACAAAGACATCAAACAGATAAGAAACAAGTGAATATTAATCATTACTAAGGGGAAAAGGCATTTGACAGATTTGAATATCCAAAATAATAAAAATCTATTTATATAATATCAAAATCATATGATTTGATACAAAATTTTGGGTATTCAAATTTGGCAAAATATAATATATATAATATAATATAATTAGTGCTGTCAAACGATTAATCGCGATTAATCGCATCCAAAATAAAAGTTTTTGTTTACATAATATATGTGTGTGTACTGTGTATATTTATTATGTATATATAAATACACACACATTCAGTATATATT